GCAGTAGCTATAGTACAAACTGCCATTGTGTCCTTGAGCATGACATTTAACCTACCTACTCTCACATAAGAATGAGTACATTTGTGAGAACAAATGTGGGACAAAGGATGGAAATTACCCCATGGAACTGGCCCATGTACTGCACCCACCAATTAAACCTATAAATATTAATAATAACATTGTGCCATCCATGTTTTGAATAACAACCAGCTGTTTATACATTTAACCTATTTACTCATTTCAGGATAAAAGAAGCCAATAGCTACATATTGTATATTATAGATTATGTCTTAGCATGACTTCCAAAATTTTGTCCATAAAATCCTGGCGTAATCATGTGAGCATTGTATTAGACAGGCCTAATCACATGTTTAATCACATGTGAACCTTGCCTGTTACTCGTTCTTTCCATGACAGTTGCTAACAAAGGACCGGTTATATGCCATTATAATGGGTCAGAGCAAGTTGTAGTCACTCAATAGTGTGAGCTGAGGAGCACCCAGCTGGCGAGAAAGCCAGACTCACTTGTCCCCCCTCTCGCTCCTCTTCTCACTCTCTTTTCATGCTTTTGCACCATTCTCTCCACCACGGCAGGCCTGAGGTAACCCAGCATTTTACTGCCAATAGGAGGGCTATGTACTCCTCCCTTCTCAGTGTGAAAAGAGGGTCATTGTGCCGGGCTGGACCACTATAAGGTATGGGGACTTCGCTAGCTACCATTCACAGATTCTGTTTTTCAAGTAGCTCTGACGATCATTCTTGCCATGGACTTCAACCTCTTAAAGAAAATTGTTCCATGGCTTAGAATCTATATATAAAAGGTCTCCGCAATTCACAATACACTGAAATACACATTGAAAATCGCACCACAAAGGCCCACAAAGGTATTTTAAGGGCACTGATTTCTACACATCCACATGAATGTCAACCACCAGAACTGTAAATAGATTTGTAAATCATTTATATGTGATGTCAGTTGTGGCTGCACTTAAATACAGTTAAGTATTTAAAGAATAAAGTAACAAAGAGCTACACAAAACTTCCAGATAACATGGAGCAAAAGAGAGACTGTATATTTACATTCACAAATAGGACATTTGATGAACTGAACTAAATCATGCACTGCCAAGAAGACTAGGGCAGAGAGAGAGGCAAAATAGACACCACATATACCCCAATATAGAGTTTTCTTTCCACAATTCTCACCAATTAACTAAAACATGTCTTGTCATTTGGAGTTGCCACCTAGGTTGTAAAACGCACTTGTTATTCAATATTATGCTTGACTAGAAACAAGAATTTATGTGAAGGTCTGGTTTTACAGTCCCAATGTATTAATTTATCCAACCAACAGAGTAAGATAATGTGTGTGCTGCTTAATTTCATGTACAAAATACTGTGCAACTATTAGAAAACTGTTATTCCAGATAAGTAGTTTTCAAGGGCTGTCAGTCTTGATCAATGGCACAGCATGTTTGTTTAATGGAAATGCTGAAACACAATTGTTGTACCTGTAATTGCACTTTGGTATGAGGACTCGCATGCTTTCCCTCTTGTGCTAATAAGTGTTTAAAGATCTGTTCAAGTACACTATTAGCCTCATTGTCCAAGTCATTTTTCAAGGTTTTGGAAACAAGAAAGAATAAATCTATGACTCGTTACAGATTACAGACTAACTACTAAAGTGTTTCATTCTGCTATTTATTTATTAGCAGTTCATGTTTTTAAACAACCTCTACATTTAGAATGTGTCAGTGGCATAAATTAGTTACAGTATTATCGTTTATCATCTATAGTTTCTTCAGCAATGTATCATACTTCAAATGTTGCTATTGTGACAGGCCTAATTATGACAGCACTAGTGAATACTGTTAACACACACATTCAGTCCTGGCTCAGTGTTTCCAATCTCTAAACCTGCACTCCAAACTAGCCACTACCATTTCTGCCATTGCCAGTACCTGCTGCAGTCGCCTTGAGCAGAGCCGCCTGGAGGTATAGTGTAAAGCGTATGTGCCTCTGTGTGAATTTCTGTTACGCAATGGGAGAGAGTTCTTCTTTCCATCTGCGCTGCTCTGCAGCCCCCGCATCCCGAAGCAACGGAGCGCAAAACGACAGCTCTGCCTTGTGCCCTGCCTCCTTCAGTCCTTCTTCACTACACAAGCCCACTCGTCATCATTATCAGCACCCACCTCCCACAAAAACACAAGCACAGTCTCCTCTGGATGTTAAAGGCACCCCTGGCTAAAGTGAAAATAGATATAAGTGTGCATCAATTGATGACTTTATAGGTATGTATTGGTACAGTAAGTGTATTGTGCAAGAGTCTCTATACACCTTGATATTAGAAATAGTCTTATTGTTGAAATTATTCAAATGGACCCCGTCTGGTCTCCTCTGATATCAAGCATTATCATGGCATTTTCCCCATAGATATGCTGTTACTAGATTACTAGACTACTTATAGTTCTCAGGGATGCACTGATCCAATTTTTTCAGTTCTAATACAGATATCAACTGATACCAGTGCAGAGACTGAGCACAGCATTTATTTCCTTTAAAAAACATTGATCTCTCATGTAAAGACTGAACAATTTTATATAGGCCTATATAAAAGTTCAAACATTCTATTCCAGGCCAACTACAACCAGTAAATAATCTTATTTCATTTATTTAAATGTCCGAACAATACATCAGTCGAAGCGATATTTGGAAGCCGATATAGCCAATCCAACAAAATTTTCAACATCAGTGCTGATATCAGATACTAGTATTGGATCGGTGAATCCCTAGACCAATTCAGTGCAATCCCAGGAGGAAGACTACATCATCCTTTCAAGTCAATAAAATCTCAATTACCTTGCCTGGCATACACAATGATTTGTCTAAATGTGCTGCTGCCCTGACTGACTTGAAGTGGTGCAATAAACTGGCCAGTGAACATGTAGGTACTGTATTTTCACTCACCACTATAACACTGTAGATATTTTCTCTGGTGTTGTCTTAAGACATCCCCATGGGGTGTCCAAGCACCATTTCACTTCTTCTCAAATTCCAGATTATCCTACTCAACGCATCATCGTCTGAATCACCCCCTCCTCTCCCCCTTCAATGGTCTACATATCTGACCCCACTTCTAACCCTGCTCTCCAGCTCCCTGCAGAGCTCATTGTTGTGGAAGAAATGTAAAAACAAAGAGGCAGACAGTGCACTGATAATCCTTCACATAAAGCAGATGGGGAATTAGCCATTTGCGGCAAGCAACTATCTTCCGGAGGAAAAACTGAAAAAACTCCTAAGCGTTTGTGGTGTTTGGCGTATTACTTCTCATCAGGCAGGATAATTAAAAGAGATAATGCATTTTGCTTTCGCCGCAAATATGTCCGATTGGGTTTTCCGGACAGGATGATGAGTGCATCCTGTCTGGGAAAAACATTTTAGAAGATTCAGCTGGGGCCGGTGTCAGGGGCTGTATCAAATAAATGAATTATACATGCACATTGCCCATAGGCCTGCTTGGGATTTTTAGTCAATAGCAGGTATCAGGTTGTAGACAGTAAGGGTGAGGGAGGTAAATGACAGTAAACTTTTAGGATCAGCAATACTTGTTATTTCTCTATTATAAAATTGGTTTATAGTATAGATATTTGCTATATGAAAACAGTATTAATATCTCACTACTAAACTACCATTTTAGTGCTGAGCGATAATCACATTTCTACCACTTAAATCAATCACGATTTTTGATCGTAAATTTTCTGAACATGAGCAAGGCTGAACTCTGCTCCAAACCACAAGAATATCATTGACGATGTGAGAAGACTGAACCTGGATCTCAGCCCCAGTTTTAAAATTTAAATATACAGCAAAAATGAACTATTATCACACAGTCTCTGCCATCTGCTACTGGTAATATAGAAATTGGCTAGTTAGACATGCTTTGACCCCAATGATCTGCTTTCAGTAGCCTACTATAACTGTGTTGTTTGGCTGTTTATGCTGGCACTCATAAATGCCCCTGTTGCCAGTACCCTGCAGTCTGTCTGGTCCAGCAGGGAACTACTCTGAAATCTGTTACAATACACAGGGAGCAAACTACTGTCCACAACAATAGACAACCTCAGAATGACAGCATAACTACCTCAACTTAAATAGAGCAAAATGTTTATAGAGCAGTTACAGAAGCTTTTTACATGCATTTCTGGTATTTTTGTGTAGAAATTGTTCACGCTAATGTGTGATAGAAATACCCAAAATGTCACTTTCAAATTCCAAAAGACATTTGTATGTTTGTAATAAAAACTAAATAGCAGAACAAAGTCATCTTGATATATCCGTCCCACTATAGAACACAGTGTATGCTGCTCAAAGCCTATAGTTAGCTAATACCTGTACTTATCTACAAGCTACACACCTATCTGTCATTGAACTTCTATTACAGGTACCATGGCAGAAGACTACAATTTAGTGGTTAGATACACTGGAGCTAATTGTTTGGAATAGCCTGCCTGAAAATGTTCCAAACAGTCTGAGGTTAAAGCTGAGGAGGCGTATCTGAATCTGAAATACAAAACTACATGACTTGCTAGTACTGTAAGAAAGGCTAGACCTGCATCTCAAACTCACTGACCGCATTATTGTTCATTCACCCAGCTGACATTCCAGGAATAAGCAAAGGTGGATCTTTCATCTGTCTCCCACACAAGGCCATGGAGAGAACACACAATCCTAAGTGTTTACGTGGATGCACAAAATGGCACTATCAATTACTAACATTAGGCAAGCTTTTAAAGTATGACAACCAGGCTTGGAATTTCAAATGCCAGAAAGATCCCCAGGGGACCACGACAAACCACATTAGTCAAACTTCCAATAATTTTTCCACCCACTCAAGAGGAAACACGCACTGCAGGATTTGTGTAGGCTCAACGGTGTCCTTTGCACTCAAGCCCACCTGTGTTCAACAACAACAAAGATAAAAGACCACAGCAAGCACTCACCTAGGTGGTCTCCATGGAAACTGTTGTCATGCGAAGCTCTTCCATGGGGCATGAGGTCATGGTGGGAGGGAGGGGGCCAGATTTGTCCTGTCTTACGAACACTGACGATGGTTGCTTCGGACATGACCACAGGGCCTCCATGTTGGCGATGATGGTGTCTCTTTTGGGACTGTGGCGTTGGCGGGCTACTGCTGTCGAAGGAGTGCTGGGAATTCTGAGAGTTTTGAGAAGGCGACCGGCTCTTTTCCCTGAAGGGCCGGCGGAAGGCTGTGGTGGGGCTGGGAGACACGTGGCTGGACTGTCCCGAGGAGAAGTCTTCCTCACTGGATGTTAGGTTCTCGTTGGAGCTGCAGTCGGGAGTGTAGCCCCCACCTCCCCCCACGTCCTCAAAGCTTCCGGGGGAGTAGGATCGCCGCGGCCAGGTGAGCAGGTGGTCATCTTGAGTACTTTGGTCCCTCATAGACACCCCACTCCCACTGCCACCTCTGCCATCACTGCCTCCTTCACCCATCATGACCCCGCCAACATACACACTAGAGTAGGCCTGGAAATCTGAGGGTTGCCAGGGAGGGGGTGGAGGTTTACCCCCATTGGCTCTTCCTAAATGTCTTGGTGTAGGCTCTCCATCCTCACCCTCTGCGTCATATCCACAGGTGCTCTCTGTGGATCGCCCCCTGTAAACCGGTCTGGGACGAAGATCTCCGGCAGCAGTTGCTAAGTTACCTGGGAGGGAGTGTAAGGACCTTTTCCGCTCCATCTGCAGTGCCTGGGTGCCCAATGAGCTTATCTTGTCGGACACCTCGCGCTCATTGACCCTCACCAAACCCCTGTCATGATGGAATTCGAGGTTGGAATAAAATGGAGGAGGAGGCGGAGGTGGTTTATCCTGAATTTTTGCTACATCACCGGCAGAATGAGAATTGGCCCGTTTGATCCGCTCAAAATTGGATCGAAGTGCTGCTACTCCCATCCCCATGCCCATCTTGTCCTTTGGGTCGGTGGGTAGTTCCTTATCAGGAGGTGGGAGCACTGGTCTTCTTGGGGATACAGTGATGCCACCTCTCTGTTTGGATGGAGAAAGCCCATCTAGGTTGTCACAAGAGGTGGATTCAACCTGTGTGGGCACGTCAAAAGCAGACTCTAGTCCGTCTCCGTGGGATGCTGATTTTCTCGCTGGTGGGGGCCGAGGTTTGGTCCTGCCAGTTCCATCACCTACAGGCTGAAAACGGCTCCTCTCCATTGGTCCCAGAGTGCTGTAGCCCCCTCCTCCTACACCCATCCCCACTACCCCAGTCTCCTGCACATGTGGCTGCTGGGACTGGCATTCTGCTCCCTGGTTAGAAGCTGCGTCCATGCCCTCACCCACAGGGGTCTTCCTAAAGCCCCAGCGCTGCTTGTCATAACTCTTTCGTTCCTTTGCTAGAAGAGTCTGCAGGTAGATCATGCGGAAGCGCTCCTTATTCACCTCTTGCTCTAGTCTCCGAATAGATGCTTTACACCTCTCCAGCTCCTGCTCAATGCCACCAACAGACCTCAACTCCATCTTGGGGGGCTCTGACTCAGGGAACTGCGCCTTCCACGCTTCAATGAAACCCACCGGCTCCACCATGTTGTGCCAAATCTTTTTCCAGTGACCGACCTTGGTTCGCTCAGAGGGGATGGTGCCAAAGGCGCACAGTTTGTCCCTTTTGGAGTCCAGTAACCGCACAACCAACAATGTGCAGCTATAGCTCCGGTACACAAGCCGTGCTTATAAGAGTCCTTTAAGTAACCTTTTTACAAATATAGAGCCTAATTGCTCACACTTGCCGTTTGCGCAGTCGCAACAATACATCCCATTCTCCTCCAGAGAAACCAGCTGCTGTTCAGTCAGATAAATAGCTGGGACTGCAGGCGGCCCAAAAGGGTAAAATATATGAGAATGTTGATCGTCCTTTTCAAGCATTATTCCGTAAAAAAATCAAGTATGACCAATAAATAATCCTATGGTGTGGGAGCCGGACCAGTGAGAAAAAAACAAGTGCAAATTGAATCCCGTTGTTTTACTCACTCACTGTTTGTGCCCAGATACCCGCGTTTTGGCTTTCACTTTTGCCCATTCACAATGCATTAATCCCGGGGGCTACTGCTTCAGACCCCAGAGCCTTTGTACGAACAGCGCTCAAGGAGAAAGAATAAAAAAGCGCACAACGGGCGACGACAGCATCTGAGTTTCATATACGAGAAAACCACGCGGTAACATTCAGGATCATTTAGCGAGTCGTTTCTTTATCCAATCTTTTATCAGGCTTCGGAGCGGCATTCTCGGTCTTCACGTTGTTTTTCTCGGGTTAAGCACGTTTCTTTTGCCGCGATGGTGCTGCTGAGTGCGCTCCCATCTCAAGCAGCAATACTGGAGGGCTGCAAGAATGGGAGGGACCAGTGTGACAAGAGAGTCTGCTGGTTAAAGAGACAGCAGCGGCGTGAGAAGCGTGGTACCTTGTGATGATCTTCGTTCTTAGATCAAAAATGTGGAATTATACGAGGATTACGAATGTCAGTATTATGATTAAATGATTATTTATTATGCAAGATTGCTCATTTTAATTACAATAGCCTATTAATCTGGACAATGATGCCAGTAAACTATTCATTTAATTTGCCAAATGTTTTTCATTTGTACATGAAATTAAATAAAATGCAACACTCATTCAGCGGTACGTGACAAGCACCCATACAGTCGTCTCACCGGTCTGACAGGTGATACGTTCAAGAAAGGGCCCTCCTGTGATTTTTATAGGCTCAACACTGCCCTTTAGAGGAAGATTTTCAAACTGCAACCAATTTACTACAGAGGTGATGTCATTGTTCCAGAGTGGGCTACTTGTTAAAGGCAATGCCACCCAAATATCAGTAAGTTAGTACTGGGGTTTCCTATAACCAAAAGACAAAAATGCGCCAAATTATATAAAATGACCCCATCATTGTGCCCTTATTGTTTTTAGTAAAAAACTGAACCTAAAAGTTCACTATGTAACTTTTCCCCATGGAGATGTAATTGAAATGCAGAGAATGTTCCACAATTTGGCAATAAATTTTTTTTCGTGTTGCTAAAATAAAAAATGGAAAATTCCAGGTCAGGCCATAACATGTACATAAAGACAAGCAGGTGACTGACCATCCTCCAAAAAGTGACATAGTGCTCCTTTAACTATATTATGGATTTTACTTCCAAATGATCACCATATAATTTGCAACTGAGAGGGGTCTACAAAGAGGCCTATTTGATTATGAGATTTATTATCATTTGATGCATATTTTAATAATAATAATAATAATGGGTATAGGATCAGATCATAACAAACCCATAGTAATTTATGTTATCACTAAAATGAGCACTAGTTAAAAAAAAAAAGACTTGACCTTTGAAATAGTATGTTGTTTTATTTACCTGATTCCACAACCTCAGTAATGCACTACAATCATTATTCATCTTCAATAATGATCCCCTCAACACTTTACATTATACTTTGACCCAGAGCCAGTATTTGGACAAGCCCAGTCACATTTTATCACAGTTTACAGCAGTTAATAAAGATACATGATATTATATAAACATAAAGGCAAAAGAACCATGTAGTATTGCAGGACACCAATGAATCAAAGTGTCACTCTTATGATTGTAAAGGACTAATTTATTCACATGAAATCAATTGCTGATATGCTGTGACTAGAGAGAGCACAGTCACATTCAGCAGTAGTCACTTATTTATCTATATTGTGCAAACTGCCCAAATTGTTACAAGATAAATTGTGTCCCATTTCTATTAATATAACCATCTAAAATAGTACTGTGGATATTTTACAATATATTTATAAATTCAAATCGCAAAGCCTAGATACAGCTGAAACACATGCATGAGTTGTACCTACACCTATGTACAGCTAAGAGACCACTGACCCAGAGTTCAATAATTGTCAACACCGCAAGCTACCATGGAAGATGAAACATGTTCTTCATGCAAGGAGTGTGAAGGGTAGGTCTCTCTGCACACTAACTGGAAACATATATAAGTATGCACTCTCCACACAGAGGTATAAATGTCATGTGTTGTGCTGGGGTATATATGGCTGGTACAGCCTTTGTACTACCCTGTGTTTGGTAATACTACTAAAAAGTGTCTTTCTAACTGAACATTGGTATACATACAGTTGATCACGGAGACAGACGAGCGGGGAGACAAAGGGACAACTGGATAATGTCCCACCTCTTAAAGCTTGTGAAGTTTATGAGAGCCAACCTGGAAATCAGAGAAAACATTAATTCAAAGTACATCAGAGTACAATACAAAATTATTTGTCAAGTTGAATACTGTGAGCATGTGCAGGTGAGAAACTGTAAATGATGAAATGCCATTCATTCATAGTAAATGGATAATTGCAATGATTAAAACAACTGTTAAAATAGGTAGTTTGTGTTTTAATTTAAACGTTTTACTGCAGTAATTTGATCAGTTTTGTTGTGTACACTTTTAAATAATAAAATAAATAAATAAAGTATTCCATGAATGGTCAGCACATGGTGAACGGGTGAAGAAAAGGTGAAATCTCTGTATATACTCACTCATTGGTAGGTGAGCCAATGGAAGGCATTGGGGAAGAAAGCACAGAGTCGTAAAGTGGAACACACAGTGCAAACTAACTATGCTCAAAAAGCATGCTTCTGAGGAGATCCACACAGACAAAATGAAAAATATATTGTAGAACTGGCTTAAATT